GGCTACGGATGATCTTTTTTGCATCAGTTCGTCACTCAATCGGCCTTTGGAGTAACATTTAACTGTTTCGACAACTCTAAAAGCGTTTGAGGATTCTCATCAAGCAATTCTTGCAGCTCCATCTTCAAATTTTTTCGGCTGTCCTGGACATTCTTTGTCTCTCACATCAAAATCACCGTTTCGGAAGCGTTTAAACCAAACTCTACATATTCTTTCCGATGGAGTTTCATCACCATACACTTCAGATAATAAGTGATGCGCTTTAGCTGCGGTTTTCTTGAGGTCGAAGTAGTGAAGAAGCACACGTCGGAAAAACAGCTTATCGTGATTCATTTTCAATCGATTGGAAAATCTCTTTGGCGTCGAGAAATCTAACCTGTGAGGATTGAATCACTTTCAGCGATGTCTAAACTACAAAAGACATGACTTCATCGTCGAAACTCGCCAGCGTTGGAGCCAGCACCCTCTAGTAACGAGCGATAGGAATTAAGTTTAACACCTAATATAATTTTAATATTAGTACATTTTTTTGGTAAATATCTAAACAGTCTTACAGTACGGATTACCTTTTGATTTTGACACATGTAGACTTTGTATAGAGGTCATTCCTGAGTAACATGCATTTTAAATTAGACGGTACTCTCTTATCATATTTTTAAAATATTTTAAGTTCAAAATATTAAGATGTCCTTATACAACTACTGTATAACCTTTTAAGAATGTATTCTTAGTAATAACTTTAAGTCAAAAATTCTAATACGAAAATTTTGAGAGTATAATAGTTTTGAAATTAGTATCTAGCGATTGAAGTTTATTAAGCACAGAATTGATATTTTCCACGCTCAAGCATGATGATATAAAGTGATAAAGGTGACACCATGAGGTCATCAAAACTATGTAAAAATGCAATTATTTTTTTATTAAGAAATTATTCCTGCTTCTGTATGGTTATGTTTTTTCTAAATTGTTTTAGATGCTATTGTTAGTAGAAATTTGCCATCTTCTCTGCTGAATATGTTGAAACGTAATCTTTACGATACCATTTTTAAAATTCAAAAATACCTTTAGATTTAATGAAATATTAAATAATGAAAGTTATCACCGTTACAGAATAATATGTTCAAAATAATAAAGTGCTAATCCTTAGATACCATTCTATACAATTTTAATCATTAAGACAGTCTTAAGTACAGTCTTAAGATGTCATAAGTCAATCCGAGGACTGTATTAGCATCTTAAGACTTTATTTAAGACGGTTTTAAAATAAGAACGGACTATGAATATCGCCCCATGTTTCGCATTTCATACTTTCGCACTATTGACGACGAGGAACAAAAGTAGATGTAGCTTGGCCGAACTGCACACGTCATGAAATCCTTTCACCATGGTTTTTATTTAATCCAATATCAAATTGCCAATAATATACGAGTATTATATTGTTTTCTAACTATCACGATGTATTAATGCTCTCACTGCCTGGTTATTAGTTTTTTTATATATAATAGTATATATTTATTGGTGTTTTCGTATATACAGAATAATTTAAGATACAGAAGACAATAAATACATAAGAGAAAGTCTTAGACTTTATTAGGTACCATCGTCTAATTTAAAGCGCATGTCATTCAGAAATAAGCCCTTCACAACCTATTTCAAAATCGAAGTATAATCCATACTGTGTAAGTTTTTCTAACATTTACACTTTTTTCATCTTTTTATAAATATTCAAAAGAGTCTGGTTTCTTTCCTTTTCTTTCCTTTTTATTTTTATTTTTTATTTTTATTTTTTTTATTTGTTGTAGAGGACAACAAGAATAATATAGCAATATTATATGAATGTTTCACGCAGCCTGGAAACACAGAAGTAAGTAACAATTATTGTATGCGCGTATGTGCTTTATTATTAAATGTACAGAGTGTAACAAAAGATAATTATACAGGGTGTCCGATAAGTTTTGACAACGTACTCGTGTGTAGATAGAGCGGATTAAATTGAGTAAAAAAATCCTAGGTAAGATTTTCATATACTATCCAAGTCCGATTTCGATACAATTTTACAGGTATGTAGTATTAACTAAATGTAGTCAAATCCATAAATGTGGACTTGCAGAAATGCTTAGTTTTCGAAATATTCAAAATTTATTTAATCGACTTAATTAACATTTGGTAAAACTTTCCCTTTACACAATCAGCCCCAAATAACCTTCAACTGGCTTTGACCCTCAAGGAAATCAAGATCACTGATCATTTCCGTCATTCGTTATTCATTAAAAAGTTATGAACAAAACAATTTTTATAAATAGTATATAACTTTCGAACACAAGTACATATTTCAGTAGTATTTTCCCTTAACAGAGGGAGATGGGGGTAGACCTCGCTTTGCGTGGAAGTCATGTGCCTCTGAAGCAGGAGGGAGATGGGATGAAAGTCGCTTCGCGTGGAAAGTCGCGCGCCCCTGAAGCAGGGGGAAAAGTGGAGTAAAAAGTCGTTTCACATAAAGCTCTAGATGTACCATAAGTAGTGCAGTCCTTTTATCTGAGCCGAAATGCCGACAACCTATTAGCTATTTCAACCGCCATTTTGGTTTAGTTGTCTGTAGTCCAATAAGCGCTTAGTATTATTGGTATAGGATATGAATGGTCGCGTTCAGCAGACTCAACTGTTGCGGAGCAGATCCGTGAGCGCTCGCTGCTATTGGTGTATTCTTCTAGATCATCCAATAGCAGTGAGCGCTCACGGATCCGCTCCGCAACAGTTGAGTCTGCTGAACGCGACCATTCTTCGCTGAGATAGGACTATTCCTTTAAATTTAAAAGTATAATCAACGCGACGAATCATAAAACTGTTGCAAAACTGCTGAGTCTGCTGAACGCAGTCATTGTTTCCGCTGCATTTACTGCGCATGAAAAGGAATAACGGTAACAGCATATGTATTAAAGTTTAATCTCAAATATGTATCTTTTATTTGTTCAGCTCAAAAATTAATATGGAAAACTTAAAAAGCTAAAAACTTGTGATTATATGGCAACTGTTAGTGCAGTTACAATTTGGACAATTACCATTTCAGGTAATTATTTAGAATTTAGAATATCCTGATCACTTTAAATCTTAATAAAAATGTTCTCCTTGTATGTATTCATTATAAATGTACTCAATTTTCATATTTTTCGCAAATATTGTAGACTTTCTCGGCTTCGATTTCTTTGCTGCTCGTTATTCATTCGATTGAACTTCAATGAAATGCGGCAAAATGTATTTTGCGTCGGAAGTGCGTCATCTCGTAAAATTTTTAACCAATAGCTGCGACTTGTTACCGCAGCGTGCTGCGTATGAAAAGTCAGCTTCAAACTTCGAGTTTGATCTCCTTATTACTCCGTGGTTGGAGCACATGAATCCAACTGCTCCAACCGCCATCTATGATCCAAGTACTTTCTGGGTTAATTTGGAAGATACGACGCCACAAACGAGGTTGCTGAGCCAATTTACCAAGAAGAAGAAGACTCCAACAAACCTTGTACTTTTGACCGGAGCATTATACTTTTGCACGTGGTACTATATTTTGGACTGATCAGTCAGTCCACCTGTTTGCCATTACTTGAGAGAGTAAGGAAAATAATACTAAAAATAAACAATAGGTGCATCCAGAAGCGACGACCGCTCACTGAGCAAAAACGGGATTAATCTATTATTAATATGTTTATTTATTATAATTCGTAACGTAGAATAACTTTGTCTACTATAGATAATCTTTAATATCATATTTGTTATTTATTTATTATTGTTTATTATTTCTCTAATGCCGTGTTTAGGCCGTAATGGTACGTTTCCTGTTTCTTGCTGTTTGTCTATTGCTTTCATGATCAAAAAGGCAAGAGACAAACAGCAAGAAACAGGAAACAAAAAGCACATTGTAAAACAGCCATAAATTGTTTTTAAAGCAATAAATTGTTGTTTTTACAGCAGTAAATTGTTTTTAAAGTAGTGAATTGTTGTTTTTAAAGCAGTGAATTGTTAGTTTTAAAACAATGAATTGTTTTTAAAGCAGTGAATTGTTGTTTTTAAAGCAGTGAATTGTTTTTAAAGTAGTGAATTGTCACAGAGCATGAAAAGGGTAACCGCAATGCATGCTTGCATCGCAGTATTTCGCGACAGTGACAGATTTCCTAACCTCAATAGTCGCCAACTTTAGCGCTTAATATCTCGGCTCACAGGGCAGAGCGACACTTTTTTTGCCAGATTTTTTCGTTTCATGCAAAAACGCGTTGAATAAGCCTAATTTTATTGATTTTTGAGGTGTGGTAGCTAAACTGAATAATTACCAAATCTAATAGCGTTTTCGGCCCGGCCAGGTTTGCACCAACCTGGGTTGGATTAATGGCGTTTTGTGCTCTCCTATTGGTAGAGCGGGTGACGTCAACCAATAGGAAAGATTAATCCAACCCAGGTTGGTGCAAACCCGATCGGGCCGAAAACGCTATAAGGCTGGAGTCCCATGAGGTGTATTTACCGCGTATCGCGTAACCGCGTAACCAATCAGAAGCGATCCGCTGTTGTGGTTTCGCGTTTTACTGATTATTGATTGGTTACGCGGTTACGCGATACGCGGCAAATACGCTTCATGGGACTCCACCCTAACAGTGTTATTCCTACGAGCTTAATTGGTGCAGCCAAAGACACAACAAAAAACTTTACTTTTATTTGTTTGCGGTGAAAATTCCCTGATTTTTCACTGTATTGCGATTTGTACTAAAATTCAGCTGATTGCCATATAAATACGAACCAAAGACGTAGAGAATGGATTGCGTGATCCGTATCTAATAGCGTTTTCGGCCCGGCCAGGTTGCACCAACCTGGGTTGGATTAATGACGTTTTGTGCTCTCTCCTATAGGTAGAGAAGGTGACGTCAACCAATAGGAAAGATTAATCCAACCCAGGTTGGTGCAAACCCGATCGGGTCGAAAACGCTATATGTCTTTGATACGAACAAAGTTACCTACCCGCACTAATATTTCCCGTCAGGTAGTGTAACGACACATCGAATTTTCCAATATGTACCAAAGACATAGAGAATGGACTGCGCGATCCGTATCAAATAGCGTATTCGATTACTGACCTCTGCTACACGGCACGTTTAATCGGGTTTAATAACATCCGTAGTTATGAAATTGGCCAATCATAGCTTTTCGTCGGGAGAATGGAATGATTGTGGTTGGTCAGTTTCATAATTACGGATGTTATTAAACTCGATTAAGGGTGCCGTGTAAATGTAGTCACTTACTACATTTACACGGCACGTTTTACGCCGAAGTTATAACATTGATGTTATGAAACTGGCCAATCATAGCTATTTCTCTGAAGAATGGAATGATTGTGATTGGCCAGTTTCATAACATGGATGTTATAACTTCGGCGTAAGTCCGGATCTACAATAGGGTTTTAAGTCTTAAACCATAAGAAATGGGCGAATTACAGTCGCTTATTCTTCTCGGATTCGACTGTAATTGGTCAATTTCTTACGGCTTAAAGCTTAAAACACCTATTGTAGATCCGGGGTAAAGCGTGCGGTATAAACGTAGTAACTGACTCGACCCGACTCTGAGTCAACAGTCTGTTCTTTTTAGCTGCATTTCTTACAAAATTTAACTCTTCTTTTGCAGCTAAACAGAACAGACTATTGACTCGGAGTCGGGTCGAGTCAGTAAATCGAATACACTATATTTTGATCACGTGACCTGTTTTGACGCTGAAAATGAGCGTCTAGCGTCAAATGAAAATCCAGTCTTAAGGTGCGATTTTACGCTGACGCTAGACGCTCATTTTCAGCGTCAAAACAGGTCACGTGATCAAAATTGATGTTTTCTGATTGGTTGCAGAGCGTCGTACGACGCAAATCGGATACAGTGTGAATCCAGCATATGACTTAAGCAGTAAGCGAATCGACCAATCACAATAGAGACCGTAAGACCATACGTAAGCAATAGCGAATCCAACATGTTGATTTCATTACTGCTTAAGTCTTAGGGCCCAGACACAAGCTTTTGCATAAGTCCGGATTTACAATAGCGTTTTAAGCCTTAAGCCATAAGAAATGGGCGAATCACAATCGCTTATTCTTCTCGGATTCGACTGTAATTGGTCAATTTCTTATGGCTTAAGGCTTAAAACACCTATTGTAGATCCGGACTAACGCATAATACATAGTGCATAATGGAATCAACTAATCGAAATTCTTCTTTTCCATGGAATGAGAGGAAAGGAAAGCTTCTGATTAGTTGATTCGCTTATGCACTATGCGTTATGCGTTATGCAAAAGCTTGTGTCTGGGCCCTTAAGTCCGGATCTACAATAGGGTTTTAAGCCTTAAACCATAAGAAATGGGCGAATTATAGTCGCTTATTCTTCTCGGATTCAACTGTAATTGGTCAATTTCTTACGACTTAAGGCTTAAAACACCTATTGTAGATCCGGGATAACGCCTGAAGTTTTTCTATGTGCCAAGGCCTTAAGTAATATATCAAGGCCGCGGTCCGATTTACGCTTATAGCGTGATTAGTGCGCTCACGGTTGCTTATGGTTGGTCCATTTCGTGCTTGCAGGGCCAGTGTGTACACAGTGACGTCATAGTTACATAGCACTCACGGTGCTTAGACTGCGCCTAGATGAAAGGTGAGGCACCGTGAGCGTCATGATTACGTGACGTCAGAAATGCGGGAAAAATAACGGTTTCGAACATTTCAGAAAGAAAGGGCAAGCTGAACACGACAAGACGGCTACGTTAGGGTCGTCGGGTGAGATATCTATCTTTTTAGGTTATAATATAAGTCCTGCATATAATAGAAAAGATTAAGAACTTCCCAAATATAGGAATAAATATTAAATATTAGAAATAAAAAATTAAAGGAAATGAATGTGTAAATGCTTAATAGATACAAATAGGATATGAGACATATTATACATATTTTGTGAACCATATTTTATTAATTGTATTTATTGTGCGTTACGTTTAATCTCTATTCCTAATTTTTTCTTTTTCTAGTATTTAATATTTACTCATATTCTTGATATTATTTCTTCTATTATGCGAACCATATATACATACGCTTTCCATTTGCCTTTCATCAGGTTACGTTTTCTAACTTATAAATTGTGCTTACGACCGGTCCAAAATAGAAAAACTTTAGCACGCTATTTGTTTCGGACCGACCATTAATGTCGTAAGCACTGATAGAACTGTGACCGTGAATCGGACCGCGGCCCAAATATGGTCGACAATAATGAGAGAGAGGGACCGTGGGAGACGGCCAATCTCCCTCTAGCTCCCATTACACCATTGAATGGAAAGAGATAGAAATGGCCGTCTGCCACGGTCCCTCTCTCTCATCCCTATCGACCATTTTGACACATGGATCGCGCAGTCTATTCTCTATTGTCTTTGGTATGTATCCTGTTCAGGTGGGGGGGGGGGGGGGGGAGTTATTTTGTTGCGCGCGCGCGCGCGCGCGTGTGTGTGTGTGTGTGTGTGTGTGTCGGATTTCTTATTGAACTTTTATTTATAACGTTTTACTTTTATTTTCAAGTACCTCGTGGTAAATAATGCCTACATATGATGAACTACATATAGTACATAAGCTGATACCCCTAGAGGAAAATAAGCTCGGCTTGGTAGTAATACCATTGGTAAATTCACTATGATTATTATACAGGGTATCTAGAAATTATGATAAGTCTTTCGTACAGGGGCAAAATGGACTAAACTGAAAAGAAATGTCCTCTACCATTTTGCAATTTTCGCAATAGTTAATAAGATATTAATTGCTAAAAATTGTTGAAAATTGGTCTTCAATAATTTTTTACTCAAATACTATCAACTTTACATAAAAACTGCAAAAGACAAAAATTGTTAATTTTCTTCTCATAGAACTCTACGAATCTTTTATCAACTTTTTAGCACTGCATTTTCTCATTTTTATCAGCATGAGAAAATACGGTATTAAAAAATTCTGAAAAAATTCTGAAAAAATACTTAGAGTTCTATGAGAAGAAAATAAACAATCTTCGTCTTTTGCAGTTTTTCTATAAAATTGATAGTATTTGAGTAAAAAATGATTAAAGACTAATTTTCGGCAATTTGTAGCAATTAATAACTTGTTAACTATTGCGAAAATTGCAAAATGGTAGAGGACTTTTCTTCTCAGTTTAATCCATTCTGCCCCCCTGCGAAAGACTTATCATTAATTACCAAATACCCTGTATATACATATATAAAATATACAGGGAATGGAAGTAACTCGTTACTTGTAACGAAGTTACACTTACAAGTTACTTTTTTGGTAACTTTACTAGTAACTGCGTTACTTTTTTTCTTTGGTAACTGTAACGGTAACGAAGTTACATTTTTTTGGTAACGGTAACGAATTTTACAGTTACGTTTATCGTTACTTTGCACATGATTGGACACGATACG